CTTTTCCAATTTCTGGATCCTTATTTTTTTTACCGTGCAGGTTATACTCACTGGGACAGTGTCTTAATGCATTACTATTGCTTCTCACCCGACTTGCTTCCTCCAGCCGATTGTGTCTTCGCGAGTCCAGCTGCTGACTCCGCCCAGTCGCCCAGCAGATGGGAAACTGTTGCTAACCCCAGATGTCGCCCCACGGCTGCCGGTGTCGGCGTCCTTTGCTCCGCCTCCGGCCGTAAACCTCTTCCCCTGCTCACCCCAGAAAAGTGAGTAGTGTTGTTATAGTCTCTTTTGACTTTTTCACGATCTGCTACTCCTTGTGTCTACTTATTGTTTCTGCAATTATGCCTCCTTCAGCCACAACCGAGATCCACCCCTGCTTCAGCCAGTTCAAACCGGATCCGGATCTTACGAACCTCGGATTTTTCGGGTCCACCCCATTTGGCGGCTGTTTTGGTGCATCATGTGGGGAGGACAACGACCTATCCTGGTGTAAGCTTGCCTTCTTTATATTTTTCTGATCACACTTTACAAAATACTATTCCTAATGCATTATAATTTTTCTTATAATGCTTTGTTGGGGGGAGGACAACTGTACCTGAAATCCTTTGCATTCGTTACTCTGCAACTTGCGATCATGGATGAGAGAGTCAAAGATAGAGAGGTGGTGGACTGGTCGAGCAAACCTTTTTTCATTATCGTTGTCTATCTCTAACCAGAACGTATTCAGCCAGGCTCTGTGTTGGCCTCGTCGCCAATTCTCTTTTTTGCTCTATGATTTGAGATATAAACAACGTGCCTTTCAGACGGAAACTCATGCAAAGAGCTGAAATCTTCGAAATGAAAAATTTGACCGGGTTTATTTACCTGAAAACAAATGCTATAATTTTAACTTGAAATGAAAGAAGTCACTTTTGTTTTTTATACTTTGAGTATTTTCGTCGTATTTTGTTACGTAAGGCCCCGTTTTGAAATGGCAAATTCAAAAAAGTGTGGCAAAATATATAGTAGAATTTTTCGAAATCTGTTAATTGGCTCTCTGTCCCGTTTTTAAATTTCATATTGGCGGAAACATTTTCATAAAAAAAAGTATCCTTCCACATTCTTTAGATTTACCAAGATTGAAAGGGCCCCTTGTGTCTTAAAAATATGCAATTTGTCGTTTTCTATGTCTTTGCACACCATAAGATATATGCGTTCATATTTACGATCCCAAATCGATGCGGAAAAACAAAATACGGTCAGAACATTTTTCAGGCGTTTTGTGACAAAGACCTGAGACATTGCTGAACTATTTTTTTAAACTGAAATTGCTTCCTATTTTTGAAAAACAATGTGATTCCTTAAATTTACCTT